GCTTACGCATATATTTGCAAATGTGTGCAAACTACAACCATTGTTTTTAACATGAATCATTAGACAGGGCCAATTTGGTTTGTTGCAGGCTGGCTGGTAAGTGAGCTGGAAATTTTTGTTTGTTTTTTTGACATGCGTTGCCCTTCCTTGTGCTCATAGCTACAAAGACTAGTTATAGGTTGGGGTAACTGTCATTTGTTCAGTTGGTGAATTGGTGTGGGGACACACTGGATACCTTCAGCAGTCATTGTGTTTTTACTGGGTGTCCAGTGCATCCCTGTACCTTTAATGAGGGGCGGGCTCCATCCAGGCATACCTGCCCTTAATCTAACCCTTATTATATATGTGCTCCAAATTGGGGGACTCTCAAAATTATAGAGTTTGTACTGTAGTATACTGGGGTACCATGACGTGTCCGCTGTAATATATGCATATATTTAGAAACATATGCAAACTAAACCCCTTGTTTTTAATATAATATGCTAGACACAGGGCCAATTCAGTTTGTTGCAGGCTGGCTGGTGGGCGAGATGGGAATTTTTGTTTGTTTTTGACATATGTTGCCCTTCCATGTGCTCCTTGCTGCAAAGGCCAGTTTTAGGTCGGGGTGGTTGCCATTTGTTTGTACACTTAAAGCAGAGCTCCACCCAGAAGGGGAAGTTCCGCTTTAAGCCTTTGTCCCCCGCTCTCAGAAGTGGAAGTTGTCCTCCCCCCTCCATCCCCGTAGTCTTCTGGGACACGTGACAGGTCCCAGAAGACTATGGGACCATTCACAAAGAGCAGCGCTACTCGCGCATGCGCAGTGGGCACACGGCTGTGATGCCACAAGCTGTCACAGCTGGGTGCCCACACTGAAGATCCCGTGAAGACGGCCGGTGAAACCAGCCATAGTGAGGACAATGTTGGACCGAGGGACAGGTCAGTGTCTGTATTTTAAAAGTCAGCAGCTACAGTTTTTGGAGCTGTTGACTGTTAAGTAACAAGCATATTATTTAAATAATTTGTGTATTTTTATGTTGTCCTTAAAGCTACAGTATTTGAAACAATTTTTTTGTATTGCTTTATGTTCAGGGTCTAGCTCCCCGGGCTTTTTCTTTTACTGTAGTTTATTGTAGTTTTACTGTAGGCCTATTAGCCCTACAAATAGCCAGAACTTACTTATAAGAATAGACTAAATTTAGCTTAAAGTTTGGATTTGGCAAACTTTCAGCGAATTGAACCTGAGAAGGTTCACACATCTATACTGAAAAATAAGTGTTTCCTCATGTAAAGCAGGTCATAGACGAGCAAAAAAAAAGAAAGTTCTTTGAAAACATGAAACTATCTCATACAATTCTGCCATCAAATGTTTTGTTTTTCTATTAAAAAAAAATGCAGCATGTTGGATCATGCACTTTCGATTGCAGCATGAAAATTGATTCGATGATTGACACAAATTTTGTTTGTGTTTTGACTCCTCTATGGTCTGCTTAAGATTCACAAAGCAGCTGTAGAATTACAATTGCAACAGGTTTCTGATGTCCACCAGCCAGATGTAATTAGCTAAACATTGTAGCCTCCCTGGCGGTATTCCCGAGTGTAGCTCGGGGTAAAGTTTCAGTACCACAAGCGGTAACCCCGAGCTATACTCGGGCTTACCATGCGGTGCTGCTCTGGGATCTCTTCTTCACTTACCTTGTCCTGCGCTCCCGCGATGTCCCCCCTGCAGCATCCCTGGCAATGTCCTCTGGCGGATGCCAGCATCTGCCTTCTGGGTTCCATCCCCTGCGACGTCAGGACGTACGGGGACGGAACAGCAGGAAATTTGAAAATGACAAAAAGTTACATTCACTAAATTCACTAAAATCACATAGTAAAACATTACTGTATCAAACCATTTCACATACATTTTGTCCCTAGTGCATTGTCCAGTGCCCTGCCTGCATTTTTACTGTTCTTTCTGCCTGGAAACTGAGAAATGTCCATGGTGTCCAAAAAGCGTCCCTTTAGGTCAAAATCGGTTTTAGACCAGCTAGAGAACAGCGATAGTAAATCAGAACTACTTGCAGAATTGAGTGATAATGATTCGTGGGGAAATTCGTCATCAAACACTGAAAATGATTTTGTGACTTTGCTCAGTGATGTGCGAACTTGGCGCTCTATTTCAGATTTCAGTGTTTTTGGTTTGATTATATTAATTACATTTATTATTATTATATTATTATTTTTAGGATTAGTTATTATATTATAATTTATGATTTCGTGTTTCAAATTTTAACATACCCGGGATGTTTACTAGACTCTTGTTCGGACAGATTTCAGTGAGTTATTCCTAAAAATTACAGGCCTACAAAAAAAAAAAAACATATTTCCATGCAAAAAAATGTACCGCTTTGAGCACAGAAATATGGACATAATCAGACCACTAGGGAGGTTAATAACCTTCACCAGGTTAGAAACATTGGGAATAAGTGGGAGGTGTGCAATGTCTATACCCAACTCAACTATTAACAGCTATAACATGCTGAGAAGAGTAGTCTCATGCAGTCCCTATATTCGGTTTACCTTGGGGACCCTATGAAAAGAAATTTTTGTTTTGTTTTTTTTATATATTGATGTTATATTGTTTGGAAAGGATAGATGCAAATAGTGCTAGCAGAAGTTTGAATAAATGTCCTTATTTTCTATTGCTCTTTCTATACAAAATGCATTAGATTTATGTTAGGCAGACAGTTCAGATACAAAAAGTGCTTAAAGTAATTAGACACTGCACAAATACACAGACGACTGCTTATCCTTTGGGGAAAGATGTTAAACCACAGAGTTTTTAGTCCTGAACATGGACTGGTTCTCTAAATGATCTCACAAGTGCAGGGTACAACAGTTTTTTTGGTTTACAGCTGTCACTGTGTAACTACAAAAGATATTGGTAACGTTTTAATTCACAGTTACAACACACATTAAAGAAGATTAGAGTATCAACTGCTCGTCCCCAATACAATAGATTCAAGGAAAAAAATATCTCCTTGGGACTTTAATGCAGCTCACAAAATACCACACATATATTCATATATGAAAAATTATATACTTTATTTTACATAATTTCTAAAATAAAATCATTACGTATTAAAATTGCATTAGCAGCTCTGACACAGTTTATTCAACATAATCCCCTCTATAGGACTAAAAAGTATAAAAAATAATATACATGTTAGTAGCCAGTGGCCCCAATGCGTTTTAATCATTGCAAACCAAGAACTTCCTCAGGGGGCATAAGGAAAGGGAGATCTCTAAATAAACATATCAAAGATTAATAACAATTCATTATAATTCCATCCACAATGGATTGAATTATAATGGATTATGTCAAATAAACTGTGTCAGAGCTGCTAGAGCAATTTTAATATGTAATTAGTTTTTCAGAGATTTTGTAAAATAAAGTATATAATTTTTCATATATGAATATATGTGTGGCATTTCATTAGCTGCATTAAAGTCCCAAGGGGATATTTTTACCTTGAATTAGTTACAACACATATAAACAGTATTAGTTCACTAATTAGATAAAGTAACACATTTTTAAACTGTCAGCCACTGTCTTAATGGATGAATACAAAATTCAGACTAGACTAGCAATGTGGAATAATTACTTTCAGTGCAATGACAAAGGCTCCAACATTTTGTAGTGTCTATACAGATTTCCTTAGAAATTGTTCTGCTTTAAAATTAGAATCATAAGTAGAATCAGCTTTCCCACATACTGAGATGAGATCTGTCTAAACAATGAAGAAAATAATCAATTGGCTGCCATAGAGTACTGCGTTCTACATATGGCTTTTAGCTTTATTAAATAAGTACTTTCATGCTTGGTGAGCACTTTAGGTAAATGCTATATTTGTATTTTATCTTTGTACTTTGTACCATAGTGCACAGTCTTCATCTGCTCAGTACACCTTTTTACTTTAGAGCATAAGGACAGAAGCACAAAAACAATCACAATCACTGCACATAAAAAACGTTTGGGAAAATACTTACTAGTGCCATTAGCCTGCCATCTTCCTTCATGGCAAGATAGCGATTTGCACTGATTCCTTTGATTGAAACAACACCTCTATCTTCTGCTTGAAGTTGCAATTTAACTGCAGAATGAAAAATATAAAATGAGATGATGAATTACTTAAATGTAAACTTGGCAAAACCAACAAATCTTCACATAGTAGCTAATATTTACAGTATCTGTTATGACAGGTTAGAATTTTTGGCTATGCCTTACTTTAAAAGAAGCTTATGGGCTCATCTAACCAAAGCCTATAAAGTGTGTGAATGTATTGATCATCTTCAGATCATCTCTGGAGTAAGTAAAACCCTGAACCTCACACTATGAAGTGAGAATATGTAGTCTTTAGTTTGCTATTTTTTGCCATGTAGCACAGTGATGTCACCTACCCCAAATGTCCCACTTTTTCACTTATGAAACCCAATCCATCTGTCCACATTTCCTATATATATATACACATATATATATATATATATAATTTTTTTTTTTTTTTGGTCTGATGCATAGACCTTTGTAAAAAAAATTAACTACTTGACTACTAGAAGTGTCATACTTTACTTAACTTTTCATCCAGAATCTTAATTATTGCATTGGTTAGTTTAAATCACAAGTATAAAAGAAAGTAGCAAACAAGCATGAGCTGCTTTATCTATCAGCAGGGGCACAGGGGCATAGGAGGGGCTTGTGAGGGGCTTTAACACGTGGTTAAATACTAACCCTACTTTGACATATACCACAGTTTTGATTACAACACAGTATGCAGTATGTAATGTATAATATAGAATACAGAGTGCAGTGGTGGGAGCAGGGGCAGACTGACAACTCATGGGGCCCCCAAGCAATAGGGGATCATGGGGCCCCTGTGTCCTTGCCCAAACTCAAAAAAGCCTATGAAAAAGGTACCAGGGCATCTCATGAGACCCCCTACTGACCCCGGGCCCTTGGGCAGTGCCCGAGTTTCCAAATGGTCAGTCCGCCCCTGGGTGACAGTGTATCATGTAAAACCCAATGTACAGAGAGCAGGGTCAGTCCCTCTAGTTATATCAGGGGTCAGGAGTTATGCTATGTACACCATGCAGGGGTTGGTAACATGTAATGTATAGAGTTCAGTTGTGTACTTCCCTTCAATCACAGATCCCCTAACAAAACCTCCCTCCTCGTCTCCCAAAACAAAAATCCTACTCCCAGTACCAATCTTTCCCCTTCCAAGCAGACTCCTCCTCCTCAAGAAAACTCCTGCTTTACCCCATTAGCAAAAATCCAATTTCCCCTCCAAGAAAGCGCCTGCTCACCCCATCAGCAAAAAAACTCACAGGCACAAGAAACGCCTCTCAATGAAAATCTCCCACCCCTCCAAAGAAGCCTCTTCTTAGCTTGTCAGAAAATAATCCCCTCCCCCAAAATAACCCCTCCTCACCCCAGTCCATCCTCCAAAACCAACATCCCTAATCCCCTGCACTAATATCCACACTCCCTCAGCATTAAAATCCCCACTACTTAGCACAGAAACCCCCACTCCCCAGCAGAAAAAATTCCCATAATTTAGCATGGAAATCCACTCTCCAGCACCAAAATCTCTGCTTCCTAGCACAGGAAATCCCAATTCTCCAGCACAGAAATTTCCACTTCTCAGCACAGACATCTTCATTCCCCAGGACAGAAATTCCCACTCCCCAGCACAAAAAAAAAAATACGGGCTAGGCAGTGGGGATTTTGATGCTTTGGGAGTGCAGTTGTTGGTGTAAGGGAGAGGGGATTTTGATTTGGAAGAATAGAGATTTTTGCTCACTTGTCAGAGGGATGCTAGATAGATGTGCTAATGGGTGATTTCTGTGCTAGGGAGTGGAGATTTTTGTGCTGAGGAGTTGGGATTTCTGAGCTGGGAAGTAATGATTTCCGTGCTGATCTGTGGCAATTTTGATACTAGGATGTTGGGGTTTCTGTGCTAAGAAGTGGGGATTTCTGTGGACACGAAACTCCCATTTCCTAGCATGGAAATCCCCACTCCCCAGCATTCAAAACTCCACTTCCTAGCACAGAAATCCCAATTCTCCAGCAAAGAGGCAGTTCTGTATGCCCAATCCCACTCAAAACCACTGCAACTCAACATTTTGGGTGCGTTGGACAAAAAGGCACAGTCTCCGGACAATCATAAGCACCTGACACCCAGGACTAGGTTATCCCCAGCTCACAAATCCAGTCCTGGAGTCAGGAAACCCTTCCATTGAACTGGAAAATTCTCACAATGGAGGAAAGCATGATAGGCTGGAGAAGAGTCCTGGACACCCTTTTGGTGCAGAGGACTCTGGTGAGTGTGCTCTTCACCCAAAAGTGTTTCAGTTCCTCCATCACCAGTGAAGGGGACCAGACATGGATCTCCTAGCTTCCAGATTCAACAACAAACAAATCAAGTTTGTCCACAGGCCCATGGACCCTTTAGCTATAGCAGTAGATGCCCTGGTGACCATGGGATCAGTTTAACCTGATCTATGCCTTCCCATTTGCAGCATCAAAATGGAGGGCATCTCAGTGATTATCATTGCACCAAGCTGGCCCAGGTGGATGTGGTATTCGGACCTCATCCTTTTGACCGACTGTCCATGGGATCTCTCAGATTGCCTGGATCTGCTGTCCCAAGAACTGGTTTACCACAATGCTTCATGATCACTTCCCTTAATGGCATGGCTACCGGAATCCATTATTCCCATGCGCCTAAAAGCTAGGAATTTACATCCCAAGAGGTTATCTTTGGGATGCATCCTGGCCATTTTCCAGTCTGGTCTCGATGAAGCATTTGGCTTTAACTACCATCTAAGGTCAGATCTGGGCTCCTGTGATTCATTTCCAAAGACTGATTGACACGCATTCCCTAGTAAAAGCCTTTGTTAGGGTGTAGCTTACATAATTACCCTGTACATCCAATTGTGACTTCATGGGACCTAAATCTGGTTCTGTTTCTTCAAAAACCCGCATTTGAACCCACAAGGGAGATTCTTCTCTGTACTCTCACTCTCAAGGCAGATTCCTTATTGCTAAACCTTTGTGAGGTGAGCTTTATCAGCCTTGTCTTGTATGGCACCATTTCTAGGCAAACTTTTTTAAGATTTATGGCTTACTTTCTCCCTAAGGTGATCCATCTCTCTGCACCAGTACATCCAAAGGAGATAATCCTCTATTCTATAGATGTGGTGTGGGCTGTTTTTAGTTTATTTCTCAGCTACAGCTTCCCTCCAGAGACTGACCTCTTTTCCTCATTCCTGAGGGTGTCCAGAAATAACAACTTGCGCATTGCTCCACTATTGCTAGGTGGGTTAGGCATATAATTACTCAACCCTAGGGATTTGAAGCTCAGCTCTGGGAAATTTGAAAATTATCCTTTGCATCTGTGTTATCTTCTCCCCTACGCTCAAGTGGTCTAAGATCCTGACCAGGACTATAGACCACTAGAGTGTAGGCGAGAAGATGCTACAAGGACCAGTCTTGTGGCATGAAGGAGTGAGTAAGTAGATCTACTTTAGAACCCCAGACTTAATGAGCAATTAACTCTTACAGTGTTAGTGCAACCCCACTGCAAGGGATAAATAATATGTTTCCTGGAGCAGGCCTTTAAGGACAAGGTTCCAGCTTTTTCTCTCAAGGCACATTCCACTAGATCAGTGGGTGTCTCTTGGGCTTTTCAGCATCAGGTATGTGTTTCTCAAATTTGCAAGGTGGCCACCAGGGCTTCTGTTCACTTGTTCAGTAATTTCTACGAGATGGGTGTTCAGACCTCTTCTGATGCCAGCTTCAGATATAAGGTCTTTTAGGGAGCTCTTTGAACTGCAAGCTACACTGTTGTTTTGGAGGACTAGATAACTTTTATTTGCTGTGTAGCCCAACTTGTATTTGGAGTGCTTTTGGACATTCCTCTTGTCTCAGAATTAGCCTGGGGTTCCCTAATGAATAATAAAGAAAACAAGATTGTTGTACTCACCCAAAAATCTATTTCATAAAGTTCATTAAAGGATACAAGTTCCACCCCTTGCTCCTTATGACACCCTCCTACTTCTGCTTTTTCAAAAAACTGGAGCTTGATGGGGATGGGTTATAGCTATCCAATCTCCTGTAGGAAGCAGTATAACACTTGTGCTTCTAATGAAGAAAAGGATTTTATGGCAAGTACAGAAGTCCTGGTCTGTGTCCAGGGGCAGACTGACAACTCATGGGGCCCCCGGGCAATAGGGTAACATGGGGCCCATGTGTCCTTGCCCAAACTCAAAAAAGCCTATGAAAAAGGTACCAGGGGCATCTCATGGGGCCCCCTACTGACCCCGGGCCCTCGGGCACTGCCCGAGTTTCCAAATGGTCATTCCACCCCTGTCTGTGTCTTGAAATGATGCTGCTTCACTGCTCCCCAGCAGCTGCAGGTATTCAACTGGCTAGACTGGAACAATACCACCTCTCCCTGCTGCACGCAATAGTTCTTCCCACTGGAAGATACCACTACATGTGGCAGAAAGAGCAGGTATTCACACATCCAGAGGTGCACTGAAGCATGACTGTGCTATATTTCAAGGCATAGGCTGCCAGAAATTTAAGTATAGCTGCCTCTTCTTTTATAGTGCTGGTATTTGTAGTTAGTGACCTTGTGATAACTCAGCAAGGAATAGTGAAATAGTTAAACTGTACCATGAAGATGCTTCATGAAGATGCACAAAATTACTGTAAGAGATGAAAATAGCTTAGAAGACTAATCTCATTTATCTGCAGTGCACTGCATATACAGTATATGCAGATATATAGAGATTATTATTATTATAATACAGGATTTATATAGCGCCAACAGTTTGCTCAGCGCTTTACAATATATAAAGAGAGACAATACAGCAACAATACAGTTCAATACAAGAGGGATAGGAGGGCCTGATCCTTGGAGCTTACAATCTAAGAGATGAAAATATAACCTTTGTCTCTTGCCTTTTTCTTTGCTTCAATTTAGCATGGCAAGGAATGCACAACAGGGATCAATTAGGAGTAATTTCACCAGGTTTTCAGGGGTTAAAGTCTTGTATGAGTAATACTCCCAGATGCAATGTGCTGTGGTAGTATTGTTATTCATTTGGTTCCAAGGCTTGTAACTGCGTGATGCAGATCCTGCCCCCACACCTCCAGGCAGTCCCCAGCCAGAGGAAACCACTAATAGTGTGTGTGCTTCAGCATCGTTGTGAAGAACCTTATAAAGTATTGTTCCGGTGAAAAAAGTAAAACACACTAAGAAGAAAGATGAAAAACTGACCTGTACAAAAAAGAAGTGTTGAATCATTTAACCTCAGAAGTAATTATGCGAACCCACAATTAAACAGCAATGTTACCTAACTTCTGTATTCAGGGGACAGATGTTCAGTTTGTTAATAGTGGATAATAATTAAGTTGTAAAATATATAAAACCATATTTTATACAACAGATTTCAACAAAATGTATTGTTATGTTGAGTGTGTGTAAATTTGAGTGAGTAGAAGGATTAATATATTAGGTATAATTAAAAAAAAAAAACTGCTTACACACCTTTTAAAAAAGAGGTGAGGGACCTAAGTTCAAGCATAGGGTATATTGTACAGCAGAGAACATAAGTACACATATTAGGACAGGATTCAATTTACACTCTTTACAGCAGAGAATCTTTTTCTAATGGTTCATTTACACTTGCAGCCAGGGATGGTAAAAACAGGTAGTTCAGACATGGACAGGGACAATAAGTAGGAGGGGGTAAATTTCCTAAGCAAGGACACAGACAAAAAGTAAAACATGTGATAAAGCCCGAACGCCTAAAGTTTTAGACCTTATACATTTACTGCATAAATGCTAACATTATACAATCAAAAAAGAACATGTTGCATGTTTTCAGCATGAAAGCACAGACATCTGGTGCTGGTTTTCTATGGTATTGCCATTGGCCGTGCATCTCATCAAGACATTAAGGGTACAAGTGCAGGACAATTTTTTTTTTTTTCAGAAATGAAAAGCTGACATTTATATAGTAAACAGTATGAACTTGAAAAAGTTTCACCTGTTGCAAATTGTGAAATAAGTAGGATCAAAATTTCCTGTCTATGGTAGACAGTCTTCGAGGGTGACATAATTGACAAAACACAGTCCAAGCTAGAGGGAATGGAGAGATATCAATAGCTTCAACTAACTAGGGTCTTTAAAAGGACTTCTGATGAGGCCTTGTCATAAACAGTCTGGAGTGTAGTTTAAGGCAGTGTTTCTCAACCCTTTTTCAGTCAAGGCACCCTTTAAAATTATGGACAGTCCCGAGGAACCCTTTAAAATTATGGACAGTCTTGAGGCACCCCATTCTAAAATAGGGTACCTCAAGATTGGCCATAATTTTAAAAAGGCGCCCCATTCTAAAATGTGAAGAACTGTTCTAACAGCAACATCCACACATGTAGGACACCCAACATTAGAGGTGATTTATCCTTCCAAAGTCAATACACTTTGGCACATTGGTACTGACTAGTATTCCAATGTTTCACTTCTCTCTTAGTTTTTCTCCATCACTGAGCTAATGTGACCCCAGCACTGAAGAAGAGGGGCAAGCGAAGGTCAAACTAGGATTCTGTGCAGGCAGCTGACTTCCTCCTTATCAACTGATGATGTCATTGGCTGTCAGGACGTTGGTGGCTAGAAGGCCGTAATGGTGCACAATGAAAACCTGTGGCTTGTTTCACCCGCTGGCTTGTATACAAGTTTTGGGCAATTTTTAGACATTTTGCCAAGGCACCCCTGAAGAAACCTCAAGGCACCCTGGTTGAGAAAGTCTGGTTTAAGGAATATACATCTCTGAGACTGGGGTAATGACCTTTATTGAACTTTCATACATCTCAGAATCCCAACTTTCATTTATATTCCATAACTACTATTATTAAGTTATCTTCCTAAAAGTGGTTACACTAATGTAGAAGAAGATACTTCTTAGTAGACACCAAACATACCTATATGAGGTATGAGCTCTAATTCCGCCATCAGTATTACTAATGATTACAATAGGATAATAATAAGAGGATTAGTGACTCTTGCAACATCAGATTGAACTTAATTGTCAAGTGATCCTAAGGCTGGCCATACATTATACAATTTTCCTTTAGATTTACCAATACCTAGGTCAAACCTAAACCGTTTCAGTTTGTATACTATCAGGCAGGTCCTTGTACTACATAGTTGGAGGTAAATCTAAAGGAAATTGAACAAAAATGTATAATGTATGACCTGGTTAACTCTGTGCTGTTCTGATCAGGTGGACTCCACTTAAGTATTTTTTTGTTTATTTGAAAACCTTTTATTTTACTATTGCTTGTGTCTGATTTTTTTTTTAGTATTTTTTTCTTTAAATGCTTCCTGCACTGTTTCTCTTTTTTTTCATTAAATTATATTTAAAATCCTTAAGGCCAAATTTAATATTCTTTGGGACACAGCACCAAATACATAAGGTACACTATATTTCCAAAAGTATTGGGACACCCTTCCAATAACCTCCATTTTTTCCTGACATACACTTTAAATAAAAGCACAATCTTTGTATATGTTAAGTTAAATAAGGGTTCATATTATTTTTTTTTCATAAGTAAGTTTACACCATGGGTGCTCAACCTTTTGAAGAGCAAGGGCCACTTAAGTGATTTGGTAACCAGTCATGGGCCACAATGAAAGGAAATGGTTCAGAATTTCGAATTTTACTATTTTGAATAGCATAATGAACATTTTCCTTCACCAGCCGCTGAATGCTGGAGGGAGGGGAGAGGAAGAGAAGCCAGCTTTCAGCAGTTCAGGATGATGGAGAGGATTGGTTATTATATACATCACCCCTCCTGTTCAAGTGTAAAACAAAATGTAACATTGAGGCCGCACGGGCCCCCTTCAGCATGGGGTGGGATCACCAATGTGATCCCTAATGCTAAACCAGTGGTTGGGGGGGTATGGTAAAAATATGTGTCAACTGTGGGTTTTTACTGCCCCCCAAACCACAAATGTAAAAGAGCCCCTACTGCCCTGAGCCCCTTATAAGGTTGCTTTCAAAACGATGCATTATGATTTACCCGCACCACGGGTGCAGCATAGTGCGACTGCAACTTTCCTGCAGGTCAGCTGGGCTTTGCCATAGAATTCTATTAAATCTTGCAGGTGTGGTGCACTTTCTGAAAGTGCACCAAAACTCCAGACCCTACACTGTTATTTTACATGGCGTACCATATCATGACTGAGTTGCTGTTGTTCCCAGTTGCTCCCACTTTGTTATAATACCACTAACAGTTGACCGTGGAATATTTAGTAACAAGGGACTTATTGCACAGGTGGCAACCTATCACTACCATGTGTGAAATCACTGAGCTCCTGAGAGTGACCCATTCTTTCACAAATGTTTGTAGAAGCACTCTGCATGCATAAGTGCTTGATTTTATACACCTTTGGCCATGAAGGTGATTGGAACCCCCGAATCCAATGATTTGCAGGGGTGTCCCAGTACTTTTGCCAAAATAGTGTATAAAACATTTCAGAGAGGCCTATTGGTAAGGTCTGAAATACAGACAAAAATCTTGGAAGAAATCCTGGAACATCCATTTTAAACAGTGCCACTCTGCTCAACCACGAATGACGTAAACTTGCCCACTATTTTAGTTTCTGTTGTGTTAGGGCGATCAGCGGCCGGTAGTTTAGGGTATATAAATCCTCCTCTCTCATAGTCAAATAAATACGTAAATATTTCAGAGTTTTGCCGTGCCAATGAACTTCTTCTTCTTTAAGGCATTTGCCTCCTCCTCAGATAGGGATACCCTCAATGCCTTTTTTTTTTTTTTTTTTTTTACATTAACCTTGTCATTACTAACTGCAGCAAATTAAATTCTGTTATCAGCCCTGGAAAGGCTATTCGAGAGTTTGAAATGAATAATAAATTGTCAGCAAAAAGGGACATTTTACATGTCGCCTATCCCAATACCCAATACCCTGTATTGAGGGATTATTTCTATGACAATGGCTCCTGGTACTCTATATCTCAGAGGAACAATACAAATCAAACAGGTTTTCAACCATTTGTACTTTCCCACTAGGAGTGGTGGCCAGTCCACTGCTGCCAAAGATATAAGAACATCACCTTAGCCAACTAAAACAGCCAGGATCAGGCGACTGTCATCTCATATTAATAGCCCGCTGTTGCGTCATAAATGGTTACTCGAGCATTTCTGTAGAAATAGGAGTATTAGTGCGTAAATAGTACTTCATATCAGGGCTCTTAAGTTTACCAATAATTCCATTGACGTA